ATGCAAAGATGTAGTGACAGCTCTTGGGCTCCATACCACGACCTTTGCCCCCACTTGCTCAAATTTCGCCACCCCTACGACGACTCCAAATTGATGCACAATTTCAAGGGCTTTAGAGTCGAGGACAACCTCCAAAGCAGATTTGCTTCAACTCTAGTTCAGTGTCCCAAAGGTTGTCTTCACACGTGGTAGCCTCATGATTCACTCCATTACAGACAGTGCTTCACTCCGGAGCAGTCACCCTCGCTTTTGTGCCCGACACGCCGGTCTCGAGAGTCTTGGAGCATCCTTCAAATGAGTTGATGGGGATGCCTACACCGCCACATATGCATGCCCCGGTCCTTCTACTACAGCTCCATCAGGATTTACACAGAGGCTTCCCACTCGATTGCTTCCTCGAGATCCTCGACGACAGATGTACCAAAGCGGCTTCACAGCAAAGACCAGCAAATTTCACAGATCCAGATCGCTTCAAATGACACTTCCCGCTTGAGGGTTAGTCGATTCAGAGCTCGTGGTCGATGATGATGGCGCCTGATTCCACATTGCTACACGTGATTTGAAATACCCGACTCATCCATCATGCAAATTCCCCCCGACCGACCCTTAGTTTTGGTGTTTGACGCCAAAGGGGAGAGGGGACGAGTATGTAGATCTGGGGGAGCGTCTTTTAGGGGAGCTTAGATTTTATTAGCTTTATATTATTGCATTTGGAGTTTCTATGTGTGATACACTTTTACTATTAGGCATTCGTGTGTTTACTTTCATGCATTTTATTATATCTATGTGATAGTGATATCTACGTAATTGTGATATATGACATGTGTGCTCTCTACTTTACATTATTTATATGTCATATCACTTGTGCTATGCTCATTTGCCTTTGCTTCCGCGTTTATACTCCGATGCAAATGAGTTTTGTTTCTTGTACTCATGCATACTTCATATCTTTTGAGTACATTGTGTTGGCTTGGGTCATATAAGCTTGACTAACACTTTTGTTCTTATCGACAAAAGCTTATATGAACCAAGTCCGTCAAAAACCTCACTCTTTCATATACTCGAGGTGGTATTGTCATCAATCACAAAAAAGAGGGAGATTGAAAGCATCTAGGCCCTTTGTTGGGTTTCGGTGATTAATGACAATACAAGATTACTATGACTAACGTGTGTTTTGCAGAGGCAATTAAGTTAGGTCATGGTAATGGTGATCGATTGAGCAATCGAGGTGGTCATGCCCCTACGATGGAAATCGTTTCGGTTTTCAAAGGATGGACGACAAGTTTAAGGATGACTAGTTCTAAGTGTCGATTGGTGTTGGAGTGACACTTGGAGTAGTTTAGGAATTTGTTTTTCCTTTGGCCGTACTATTAAGGGAGATATGGATGGGTAGCTTGACCTAGATGAGTCTAGTGAGTTAGGTGTGGTGCACACTTATTTAAACTAGCTCTAGGTAGCTCCTACATATGCCTAAGATCCAATGGAGCAAACTTCATTCACACATGATCGAGAGTTGAAGGTGAATAGAGGGTCAAATACTGACCGGATGCTGGCCCCGATGCGATCGGACGCTGGCCGCAGGGTCCGGTCAGTTCATTTGATAAAGGGACTGCGTTCGGTGCGACCGGACGCTAGAGTGGTCAAGTGACCGGACGCTGAAAGGCAACGTCCGGTCGACTCCAGTAAGGTTCCAGAGAAGAGAATGTACGACCGGACGCGTCCGGTAAGTACTGATCGGACCCTGGGGGTTCAGCATCCGGTCGAGTATAGTAAGGTTCCAGTAAGGTTTTAATGTGACCGGACGCGTCCGGTCAGTGGTGACCGGACTCTGTCAGCGTCCGGTCAACTCTTTTTCACTGGTTCGCGGGTTGAACTGATCGGAGCGTCCGGTCAACATGACCAGAGCGTCCGATCACCCCGCAGAGGCTCATAACGGTTCGTTTTTTAGGCTGCCTTATAAATAGAAGCTCCACTCATGTGTGGAGTGACTTTTGCTCATTCCAACAGCTGAGAAACACGTTTGTGAGTGCCAAGAAGAGCAAGATCCTAGTGAGGTGATTGAGATTTGAGAATCCAAGAGAGTAGCCTCATTAGTGAATCAAGAGTAGTCAAGTGTGCATCCATCTTCTCATTAGGCTTCGCGTGGTCAAGTGAGAGTTCGTGCTTGTTACTCTTGGTGATCGCCATCACCTAGACGGCTTGGTGGTGATTGGGAGCTTGGTGATTACCCGGTGGAGCTTGTGGGTGACCCAACTCAAGTTGTGAGCGGCTTTGGGTGATTCGCCGCGACGGAGTGTCGAAGAATCAACCCGTAGAGAGCACTTGATCCTTGCGCGGATCAAGGGAGAGCTACACCCTTATGCGGGTGCTCCAACGAGGACTAGTGGGGAGTGGCGACTCTCCGATACCTCGGCAAAACATCGCCGCGTTCCTCTCTCTCTCCATTTACTTTGGGCATTTACTTTGAGCATTTACTTTGAGCAATTTAATACTTGTCTTTACATTCATAGAATTGTCATGCTAGAGTAAGTTTGGAACATAGGTTGCTAGTCCGTTGTGCGTTAGTTTATTAGAAACTATTTTCTAGGCACGATGGGTTAATTGGGCTAACCATAGAATTTAATTATTGCAAAAAATTTAGAATTAGCTCAGTTCAACCCCTCTCTTGGGCATCTTGATCCTTTCAGAGAGGATACTCAGATTTGGGTTATGCCTCTCTTAAAACCTAAAATGGGTCTTCCATATAAGTACTCTGTTAGAAGCTACTCAGATTTGAGTTATGCCTCTTCTGACTCTAAAATGAGTCTTCTATATAAGTACTCTGTTGGATACTATAAGTATTATGTTGGAGATCAGTTTTGAATTTGGGTTCCGCAGTGCATCTCCTGTTGGAGACAGCGTGAATGGTTGTTTTGCATCCCAACCAAGCGCTCAAACCACAAAGCCACAACTGAGTGAACTCCTATGCCGATTAGGTGCAGTTTACATAAAAACTGTCTGAAATTTTAAGGTCAAAGTAAACATTATATCCTAAGCCGACTAGCGTACTCGAAAGTATGGGTATACACAGATGCAGATAATACAAGAGCATACACTCATCGTGCAATGCAGAGGTCGAGGCAGCACCTGCCCTGATAGCCGACGCGTGGACAGCAGGGGAAAATCCAAGGGTGCAGCGATCGGCTTGAATCCACATGACTCCCCAGCATGGCTCGACGCATCCTCGGCTCCAGTTCTTCGGCAGCCTCGGCTTGGTTCACTCGCATCCGCGTACTCTCAGCACGTCTTTCGTTGAACTGAGCACGAGGACGACGAGGTTGACTTGCTCGTCGCCGGCCTGCCGCCGGCGCATGAGGACGCCGCAGCTGCCAAGAAGAAGGAGGTTGATGTGCTCGACGCCGGCTCACCGAGCACGAGGACGACGCAGCTGCTGGGAAGAAGGACGATGAGGTTGATCTACTCGTCGCTGCCGGACACGAGGAAGATGTAGCAGCCGGGCAAAGTGATCGCTCTCGGCAACAGGGGTAGGTCAAGAACGCATGGAGCGAGCAGTCCATTACACTGGTAGAGGAGTGATTGGGAAAATTTGTAGGAGTGATTGCGAATAATGTCTCGCGGAGGCAGAGGCGGCGAGAGATGTAGCAGCATTACACAAGGCCAGTCCATCGGACCAGCAGCCGTGATGGTCGTTGCCATGAAGTGTCATGCCGCCAAACGCTAAAGGACCTACATCGTCGCCATGGTGGGAGCGTGAGCCTGGGAGGAAGCTGAGCGTCTTGACTCGTGACGGGTTGGGGTGTTGGCCTGGTGGGGCGGGTTAGCAGATTGGTCTCATGAGATATGGAGCGGGGTAGTTAGGGGCGGGTTTAACCCCATTATTAGGCCTAGCCGAGCCGTACGACTCGCTGTGAGCTGAGGCGTGCGTCATATGCGCTGCGTTGAATCAACCTTCGAGCCTATAAAACCCCCACCCGTTCTCCTTTCCACGCTCACCTCATTCCTTTCACACCACACCCGACGGCCGACGCTTCAAGCCCTACTCGCCTCTCCTTTCACCACTCCCCACGCCCAGCTCAACACGGGCACCGATGGCGCCTCCCAAGAGGGCCGCGGACTGCGGGGACGGCGGTGACGGTGGGCCGCGCAGGGAGGGTGGCGAGGGTGACACTGGCGGCGATGGCGCTAATGGTGAGCAGGGCGGGAAAGGCGGCCGCGGGCGGTCACGGCGGCGACGGCGGGTCTTCCCGCTAGGTGTTGCCCCTGCGCTACCGCCTAGCCGCTGCCCGCTAGGCGTACGTCCCAGCTATACTGTTGTGTGTGATTTGCTGTTTTCTGTGTGAATGATGTGGGTGATCGAATGGGCGAGGGTCTTCCGTGTGAATGATCTCGATGGTGGGAGCACAGTTGGTGCAAAATGGAACCCCTGAACTTTATGCTTTGGCAAAGATTAAGGGCCATATTTAGCACCAACTTTTGGCAAAGATGGTCCGCCATGCATGCGATGTCGGTGTGGATGCTTGTAATTTTTGTTTTGTAGTGCTCAGGCACAATAATAAAATGGCTGGGAGGGAATGTTTGTGTTTGTCTGGCTTTCTTAATGTGACGTTCGGAGTGTTGCTTCTTACTGCCAATGATTGAAGTAACGTTGTCCAAGAGCACAATTTAACACGAAAATAGTCTCATACTTGATATGTTGTTATAGTTTTTGCATAATATTGAATGCATCACAATTCAGAACAACTAAATAAACATTGAATTTGGGTCGCATAACAGCATAGATTCGACTTCATCATTCTTTCTTGACATCTCTTCTGCCTCTAGATGTTTTTTGTTGCACTCTGAATTTGCTCCAACTCCATCTTCAGCGTTTGTTATCTTCAAAGGATCTCTTGTTCAGAATGAGAACTGTCAGAATTTGTTAATCCTCCATGAGTTACTGCTATTGAACCAAACATTATCATATCAAGAAATATAGTTACTGCTATATCATATATCCAAAGCTATGTTGCACTTGAAAGCCAATAAGATGTATCTACTTTCCAGCAATTGTTTCTCTTCACTTGTTGAGCTCTTTGTTGTATATCAAGCTCAAGCAGCTCGAGCTTGGTGGAATGGGATGGGTATGCTGTTGTTCTTGCCGGCTCAAGGTACCAATCAATGCGGAAGTCGATGGCCTGATGCTGATTTGGTTTGTAGTGCTTGTCTCCCATGGATACTACTTGAGACCCAGGTTGTAGCTGTTGCTGTAGGCTGCTGCTACACTGTTGTCCAAAGAGAGAAGATTATGGCCACTGTTAATCGTCAGGTTATTGCAGGGCTTTTTTTCTTTTCTGGAGGGCGCCTTTGTGTTTTAGCATAGCAGGTCATTAAGCCCTGGTAAAAGAGAAGGGTTGTGTTAGACGCAGCGAGCCAATATAAAAACTTAGCCACTTTAATAGAGATGAAACCCAAAAGAGTCTGAACCGTGACTTAAGGCTCTTGGAGGGTTTCAACTCTAGCCTACTTCAACTTGCTTGGGACTAAAAGGCTATGTTGTTGTTGTTGAGCACCCAACTCAAATAAGCACGAGCATGATTTGATTAGTCAGTTCGGCAAGCTATAATAACTGCAACGAAAGAAACTCCCATACCGCGGAACTGAAAGAACATTCACGGAATAATAGTAAACTGCCATGACAACAACACGAGATAGGCCAGAACATGTAAACCAGTAAATGGTCTACGCTAAGAGCACAATCCGCACGTCCAACATGCAATACAGATTCAAGATTACAGAAATTTATTGATTTCTGTTTACAGTACAAAAAAAACAGCCACTGTCACTCGTATTGACCATCTAGAGTTCTTCGAATGTCCGAAGTGACGAATTCTACAAGCAAAAATTGAAAAAGGTGATCCACCAGCTATAACAGACTAAGTGCCCTCTTACAATTACCATTCAGAATAACCAACAGCCCGGCAACAGGTCACCTTACAGCAGATGTCAAAAACCAAAACTATTATCGAAATGTATAAGAGAACCGAAGTATCAGACCAATTTCACCAACACGCCTAGGCAGAATCAAGAGCCGGGAACAAAGAAGCAGGATAACACCGCTGTGCTGGCGAACCCTCTGAACTGCTAACGCTATCATTTCTGGCAAGCAGCAGAAAAGGTGTGTACAGAACTGGCTGCATGAGAAGGCCACAAGGTTTACATTCTGAAATTCTGCCTTGTCTTGATCATCCGCTTCAATGCCGCAAGCCAGAAGTTGCACTCATCCCAGTCACTTGTTGTTAAGAGTACCTGACAACAACATTGTGCAGTTGCAAATAGTTAGAAGTCAAGGAAGAACTGATATCCAAACTTTGAAAAGAACATGGAGAAGACAGACGCTACAGAACCTAAAAGATCAACATCCAATCTACCTGGAGATGCATCGCAGTGGCAAAATCACTAGCATCAATTGCACTGCACAACTGAATGAGTTTTGATGAAACATTTGGAGATATGTCGCCACTATTTAGTTTTGAAAACAATGCCCCTATTTTCCTTGAATTGTCCTCAATTTCACGCTTTTTTGCTTGAGTTGCTTGTGATCCTCCCAGAGCTTTGGACGTCTCATCGAATAGTCTGGTTAGTGTACCAATAACAGGTCTCAGCTCAGCTGCAAAGACAACAAGAGTGTCAGATATTTGGTAGACCTCATATGAAATCACAAGTCAGAAAAAAAAAATTCCTTGGAACCAGAATAGAACAAGTGAGACAAGATAGTGGTAACAGCAAAAAGATGGAAGCCTTTAGCCTTGCATCTGCATTCGACATACCAGACACTTTTGTCGTATCAGCTGTCTGCACAGTCAGGGGAGGTGCAGGAGGAGCTGGCTGTGCCTGCACCTGCGTCGGACTTGAAGGCTGTGCAGGACTTAAACCTGGCCTCGGAGCGAAGCTTTGATTGTTCGATGGCATAAACCTAGAAGTTGAGTTAGTAGCAGCAGAATGTGGAAACATCTGGTTAGGGACTGTTCCTGGTATGGGGCGCTCGGACCAAAAGAAGATACTGATGGAGCAGCAGGCTGATATTGAACAGGCGATACAGGCTGATGAAATGTTGTTGGAGGTCCGCTTGGATAAGAAGCAGATGGTCCAGAAGAATACGGTTGATTTGCAGCACCCTGTTAAGACCAGAGAGACCAGTTTGGAACAAATATCACAGAAATACTAGTAAATATAAGTCACCAGTATACCTACCGTGTAAAGCTGGGAACCTAAGGTATTAGGTTGCTGATATTGTCCAGGATTTTTTAGACCAGCTGGGTTCGCTGGAGTAAATGTTTTCACTATTTGCTGAGGCACTAGTACAGGTGAAGGGCCTGGCTGTTGCTGCGAAAAAATGTCAAAATAAACAGTGAGTGTAATAATTTTGCATTGCCTTAAATGGAAAACGACACAAAACACTCATTAACTTCAGATGAGGCAAAATTCTGCTGGTCAACCCTCAAAAGTAGCATATACTTGAGCAAGAAAAACTTCAAATACATGGGGGGGAGGGGCTACATGTTCAGACATACCACAATATATCCAACATTACATTTCTTTTGTTCAACCACAGCACCAAAAAAAGGGAAACCAAATATTTGCTATTTTGCAGTGTCTTAATGGCACAAGGGCGTGCAAGTGAGACAGGTGATAAGTTCAAAAATTCCAACATATTGTACCAAATACTTGCTGCAACGAACTGGGCACTCAAACTATAAACCACTGAGAAGCTTCTCCAAGCACAACTGGCCTATAGGGTTGTTCACGTACATGTGATGCTAAAAAAAAGGATTTCCTGAATCACAAATACCTGAGAGTTGGCAGGTGTGCTAGGTGGAACAAACATATTGGTTGGTTGTTGAGGTTGATATGCGTTGTTGTATCCATAGGCTCCAGTAGGTTGTTGTGGGTAAGCTTCTGAATATGTATTACTTGGTACATTGTATGGTTGAGGTACCTGCTGTTAGCAGTGGTCAGAACATTATACTACAAAACCAATAGAGCAAAAATGCCACTCCCACTATCACAAATGTTTGAGGTTTAAGACATTGTCACGGCCTTACAAGATGACACTTTGACTTTAGTTTTATGAGAATATGACATTTTAAATATGTTCAAATATTGTAAAATTGTTTTTATGATGAACCTAGCAACATCAATATTACAATGTAAATCTACTATGTAACTCTTATACAGAAAAGGTTTGACAGAAAGAAAACCTAAAACGGCACATTTGTTAGGGAGTATTAGTTTATTCTGGCAAACATTGAACTGGTAAATCAAATGGCAAATTTTAAGTATGAAATGGTGGTACAAGAGGGAACCTGGTAAACATTCTGAGAATGGTCTGGGGTGGTATATGGTAGATTTGTGACATAGGGGGAAGGAGTGCCGGTGCTTTCAGAAACAGAACTACTAGCATTATCGTTCTCTGCAAAATAAAACTCTAATAAATACTATGGTATAAAATAAAACTCCAATATTTTAGGACAGCAGCATGAAGAAAAGTGACTTTACTCTGGATACAAAAAGGTGAAACAAAAGACAGGTTCTGAAAGTTCAAATGTGAATATTCACAGCGTACATGCTAAAGGACGAATTAAATCGATACACCAAATTTAAACCAAGGAATACTTCATTTACATGTAAGCAACAACGAAAAGTTAAACAAAGATAAGAAAAAAAAAGGATAATATAATGTTGCTATACAGATCTTAGATGTACAAGTTCTGGATAGGGGCTCAAGGTTATTGAATGGAAGGCTAGCCAAAAACTGAATGAAGTAGCGAGATATTTGGTAGTAAATAACAATTAAAAACATCAAACATAACAGGATGAAAAACAACTTTGTTACAGCAAGGTGTGAGATGGCCAGTACTTTTCAATATGCACAGGCACCAACGGGGAATACAGAACCCATTCAGTTCAACAATGTGTGGTCACATCATAGCAAAAAAATATATAGACCGGAAAAATGGATAAAAAAACTTCAAACCAATGAAAGACGGAATAACGGAAGACAAAATTAAGTGATGTAAGTTTGGAGCGACCTTCTGTAGAACATGCAATTCGATCTCTCAAAATTGCCAGCTCTTGCGAATGTTCATCTGATCCCAACAGTTTTAAATACTCCATTGCAGTTTTAAGAAGACCTTGACTAGCCAGCAATTCAGCGTAGTTCTCAACAAGCTTAGACAGTGACGCGCTAAATCTCTTGTGGCCCGTAGCAAGGGCAAGAGTAATGGTTTTTTCCATCAAATCCTGCATTTCCACAGTGGTCAATTAGGAACTGTTTGGGAGCAATGCTATAGAATGTGAACTACTATTATGCAACTGTACCTGGAGAAGATCAACATAAGTCTTCCCACCATCTTCAGATTTCAAGGTGCGGGACCAAATTTCAACAGCTTTGTCAATATTTCCAGAACAAATATAACAGAGGGTTGCAGCTAGCGTATCTCCAACATTCAGAAGTCTAGACGCAAGCGTGTCACACAAAATATGCCACTCCTCTTTCCGTGCAAACTGTTTTGAGTTCACAGTTAAATTAGATTTCATATACAAGCTCATATCAAATTTATACCATAGATAAGGAATATGAGAAGTCATCAACCAGCTAAAAAACTGTTTCACTGGGACAACAGCCAGTCCACTGGCTAGAGAAACAGTTTTCTAAACAACAATCTAAGAAAATGCAGGTAATTAAAGTTTGTTCAGTAAGGTTCTATTTACAGCTTGACAGAGTTTGGACAAAGTTATGTTTTGCGAGCTGGTCCGATAATACAGCTTATCCTCTCTGAGACATCCAGCATGAGTTCAAGCATCCAGTCCCCAACAAAAAAAACAAGGTGGTCAGTACTCATGTGTGCAATATCAGATTACCTGTTATGGTTTTAACTCTACTACTCTGGTTTTGTAACACCCTCGGTGTTACACCGTAAATCATTTACTAAAACATATCATGAGCATCAAGTTTATGTGTTAATGCATGTGATAAAGTGTGTAGCTCAATTTCTGTAACTCGAAACGATCAACTAAAATGTGAAACAAAAATTGATTCGATGGTCATGTTATATCACTTAGGGTTTAAAACCAATTTTTATTAAGCAAAAATGATATAGAACATATATGTCACCTTAATAAAGTTGGAAGTACAAACTTTGTAGATGACAGTGAAATGCTTGCGGTCGAAAAATGATATTACTAGCTAATATTTCCACTAGCTTAGAAATCGCAAATGGAAATCAAATTCAACTCAAAAACTTAGAAATTTTCAAGTCTGCCAACAGCTAGACATTGCTATGTTTAGCAATTTATTGTGAGAGATTGGATTAAAGGGTGGTGTAGTGTTATAGCTCGATTTGGTAGTGTCATGTGCCATCTTGAGCATGGTGAAGACGGTTTAGGTTTAGGAGCAACCGTGGTCGTGTTGAGCGCTTTAAAATTCGTGCGCTTTACCGGTTTTGGGCTGGTTGGTCGCGTGGCCGCGATCACCGCTCATCTTCAGCGTCGCTGCGTTGGTCCGGCGTCTTGGCGTCTTGGCGGCCGTGGCCGGTCTGCCTGCCTGGCTTGGCCATGGCTCGGCCATCCCAGCCCCCCCTTGCAAGCCCGCCGCCGCCACCGCCACCTACCGTCCCCATGCCCTGCGCTACGCGCGTCCGCGCATCGCTCTCTCGCGTCCACGACGACGCTGCTTCGCCGTCGTCGTCGTCGTCGTCGTCGTCGCCCGCCGCTTGCGCATCTCTCGCTACTGCTGACCTGTGGCGTGTCGTCTGCCACAAGCGCGGGCGAAAGCCGCCATCGCCATGCCATTTATGGCACTGCGGCGCTCGGGCCACACCGGTCGGACGCGGGCACACGTTGTCCGTAGCGACGGCGCGTGGGCCTCCCGAGCTCGCCGCTCGCGTCCCACCAAGGCAAGGACGAGCCGAGCCCACTGCCGCGCTCCATTTCTCTCTTCTCTATCTGCTTTCCACCGCCGCCGAGTCGCGTCACGGCGAGTCAGAGAGCGAGCACCTCTCATCAATTCCTCGTGCTCGCGTCTCCGCCTTCACGCCTCTCTCGGTAGTCCCTCGCCGCCTTGACTTGCGTCCACGCCAACTCCAATTTTGAGCTTTGCCCGCCGCCGCGTCTGCCGTAAAGGCCGCCATCGCCACGCCGCGCTGCCCTCCACCACTTCATCACGCCGCCAATTCCTCTGCACCACTAGCTAGCCTTGTCTCCTTCTTCGTCGATGCGCACGCTTGTCACAACTCTAGTGCCGCCTCCTCGCCACGATTCGTCGTGCGTCTCGCTGGTCGCGTCTCCGCCGAAGCCGCTTCTCAGTAAGGTCACCGTGAGTTGTCGTTGCTCACCCGCTACCCTACCGCCTTGATTGTTGCTGCGGCTCACCAGAACGCCGTCGCCATTGCCGCAGGATGCCCGCCGTCATCGTGGAGAGGTCCTTCTACGGCGTCCCCGGCTGCGGTAAACCCGCCGCCCATCGCCTCGCGTCAAACCCTAGGTGAGCGTCGGCCTCGTGAGATAGGTCGGCGTGGGTCCCGTGTGGCGGGCAAGCAAGCCCAAGGTTACCACTGCCGCCACGGAAGCCTTGAGGGAGGCCGGGCCTTGCTGCTGTGTAAAGAGGAGAAAGATCCGAGGGTTCATTGCAAAGTCGTTGTCTATAGAAATAGTAACGTGATCATTGCGAGTTGTTTTGCTCAAAGTCCGGGGTGGTTTTGCTAATGTGCCGCGGCATGGCAGATTCCCGCCACGATTCGCGTTGCGCCCCGACCTCGCGTGACTTCTGTGGGCACATGCCAGCACATGTTGCGTCGCGCGTGCGTTTGGGCGAAATCAGTTTAGCTTTTTCGTGGAGAATAGAAATATCTTTTCATTTTAATTCTAAGCTGAACTTTGATAATTAATATAAAATCATGTAGGTATCCAAAAATTGTGAAACCAATTTTGTTAAGTTCCTAAAATTGTGCTCTATCTGTAAGTGTATTTAGTTCATATATATACTTGATACCAGGAGCTATTAAATCATTTGAGAGTGCTTAATATTATTAGGTTAAATATTGTAGGAATTTTTGTGGCAAAATGGTGATAGCTTTAGCTTTGAAATTTTTACAGTAGCTTCATGGTATTATTATGTGCTCACTGTAATTTTTGTAGCTTTAGAATAAACTTAACATAAGGGTAGTTAAATGCTCTTTGTTTCAAATATACATTAAAATATTAGTAGAAATAGAGATATATCCTTCATTTGTAAAGCTAGATGTTTGTTAGTTGAACCCAACACTTTACTTGATGAAGATGATAGTTAGCTTAGTATCTTAATCATTAGAGCTAGCTTAGTAGTTTACCATGTGTATTCTTATTTGAAAAGTTGATGTTGCCGAAATGCTAAGTGTTGCATCATCATCGCATGCATGTAGAGAACGAGTTGGCGGAGATCATGACCATCGGAGATCACGAGTTCGAGGTGATCGAGGAGCACAAGGAGGAGATCCTCGTGCAGGAGGAGGTCCCGGAGCCGCCACTGACTGATTGAGCTGACACCGCGCCTGCCCAAGGCAAGCCCCGGTGCATAACCCTTATTTTGAATTATCACTAGATATATATATATGTGATGTGCATTTACGTTACAGGATTTATATTGAAACTACATGCATAGATAAACCTACCTATGAGTCCTACTAGTAGCATAGTTCGAGTAGCTGTTATGCTTAGGCTATCGGTAGCGTGAGTAACCTACCGTTACTCACAATAGGTGATTATTATTATCACTCTCATGATAAAATGGTGAAAAGTAAAAATAGAGACCGGACAGGGATATGGTATGGGCATTGGTGGGTGTAATAGGTTGTGTCCCGCGGCCAACGGGGCATAGCTTGGTTACACTGTTTTCCCTGTCCGTGTCGGTTAAGGACCGGTCGTTGCATTGGATATTAGTCAGGTCACAGACTTATTATCCTGAGCATATACTTGCTTATGGGAGCGGGAAGGCTCGTTGCTCTCTTGTCGTGGGCTCCGGCTCTTTCCGGAGCGACTGATTGGAGGCGGGGATGGTGGAGGTCTAAGTACCACACTGAGTCCGGGACTCAGGTGTGGGGGCTTGGAGTCCAAGTTTGGACGGGGACCTGGACCCCTTGACAGGAGAGTGGTGGGTTGGTCCTGCTTGTGCCTCGGAGTACAAGCGAGGCGTGTGTTTCGGGATACCCAACTGGGCTATATTGGTTCACGAATCGCCATGTAATACGGTACAACTTGTCTACGATCTAGCACCGTAGTAAGAACCGAAAGATGAAAGATAGTGAAATGGATCTCATTGCTCAACTCTTGCTTGAAAGTAAAACAGGTGCTTACATAGAATGGTTAGCTAATGAACTAATCATGACTGCTAATAAAATACATAAGGATTCACTACTAGTAATGATTTTGCAAAAAGGAAACCCAGCAAACCATAAAGCTTATCATATCCTTTGGAGTTGAAAAATTATTCCTACTAGTCGGGTAAGTCTTGCAAGTACATTGTGTACTCAGGGTTTGTTTATCCCTGTTGCAGGTGCAGCTTGACGAGTAGCTGTTGTGTGGGGATTCTTCAAGTGGGCATAGATGGATCCTTGTATCTTATCGTTACACGTTTATTTTAATTCCGTGTTTAAATTCCGCACTTTGAACTTGGTATTGTAATAATGTATTTTCTAAGAACTCTTGTTGTATGAAATGGACTAAGTATTGTAAATTCGTTCTCATTATTGGATCCTGAAGGAAAAACGTGGATGGTTCGAGTTCTCCCTTGGGGTGTGCTCGACGGAACCGTCCGCTATAGCTTGCTTTCGGGGTGCTTAGTGTCTAGTGGAAGACGAGTGCCTCCAAAGGTGTGTTATTTCGGACGGTTATGCCACAGGTTTGAGCCTTTGAGGTCATCCATTACATGGGCACCCAAATAATGAACCAGGCCAGGCCTTTCAAATGCCAACTATATTTCTATTGAACTACTCTACTAGTCCAGCCAAATTTTCATAACAAGGACCAACATGGTGCTAAAAACACATCAGACAGGACAACGTCCAAATCAGTTCAGTCTATAGTGAATATAAACAAGATAACAAAGAATAAAAATGCAATGCCACTTTAGGACCCATCTATCAAAGCTTGAAAGTTAAAACCAGTCAAACCACCATCAAGGTAATTCTAGATTAGAAAACATGGCAAAAGAAAACACAAACTGACTGAACAAAAAAAATTGTAGTTTGCACTTACTGTGCAAAGCAGAGCAAGAGTTTCCTTCCATGAACTTAGTGGCCAGGTACTCACAAAACTCATTAAATCATTGCCCACCATAGCAGAGACAACCTATACTTGAAACAGTATAACAATAAATAATGGTGATTATGAAAATTAATATGTACAAATAAATACATATATTCAAAACCGGGAATAAAATGAAACCTTTAAGTAGGGCGAGATACTGTTCTTAAGATAATGATTTCTTGTACTTTCCCAGAGAGCAGAACCACCGGCATGGGCTATAACCAAAGCATCAGCCATACGATTAGCAGCAAGACACTGGTTAACTGCCCCTTTGTAGTCTCCAACCACCAATGCATGTTGAATGCTTTTGTCAATTGATGAATCTGATGGCACATCTCCAGACATTTCCTGCTCTATCTGTTGACCATCTGTAAAATCTGGTTCTTCAGCCAAGCTAACCTCTGAAGGTTGAGGATTGTTGAAAAAATCATCCCCATTATCAATAAGAAACTGGGCATCCGTATTATCGGTTACTGTGGCATGATCAAGATTAAGTGTATCTGCCAATGTTTGGCTCAATTCATCAGTTGAACTTGCAGGTGGTGCCTGAGGTGGTTCAAAGCCAAGATGAGTAAGCAATTTTGTCCGTGCAAAATCCCCATCCTCAAACATAACCCTTAAGAAGCCCCATGTTTCTCTCTCCTCATCAGATCTGATCAAACATGCAACGCATAAAGTTAGTCTTCATGCAAGCACCAGGAGCAGTTCTACTAAAGGAGAAGCACATACAAAGATTCTTGTGATTTTTTTTCACACAGAGCACGCAGCGAACTTTTGTCGCCATTCTGAATAGCAGCTTCAAATTCAGTTGATCGGCTCACCAGACTTTGCTCAATCACCAAATTGTGAACATGCACCTATAAAAAACATAATATAAACACAGGTACTTGAAGAGTTGCAGAAAGCAGGGCACTGATAAAGAATACTTAACCTCAGATGTAGATGCTTGTGCACCTTGGGTGGGAGCCACCGGATGGAAAGAAACAAGTTTACCACCGAAGCCAAAAGATGCACCAGTGGGGCATTTCAACCATTTTGGAGCCGGAGCCCTTGGACGTGCTGAGCATAATTTAGTTCTTATCAAACAAATCGTATCAGAGAAAAGGTACGCACACTAGTATAATTAGTGACCAACTGGTAAGGCTGTTCAATTGGTACTCTATAAAGTGAAGAAATAGATGTTTTTTATTCGGTGCTTACAGTTTAGTTACAGTCTTATATAGATCTAAACAGCAATCTTAATCAAATGGTCACCACAACTAACCCAGTTCACCAAATACAGGCAAGATAGTATCTAGAACAGTTAACAGAGTGTAACGCGGCGGGGAAATAAACCAGCCAGTAATAATCTCAAACATAAATCAAATCCGATATAAAGGGCATTGTCATAGAAAGAAACATCACATTTGTCCTTGTTATGAAATGATGGATCAAGGTCAATATTGTTGAAGAGTGCTTTAAGATCATGCAAGGGCTGTACACAAAACCAAAGGCAACAATCTAACTGAATATGTATCTAACTATCACAGAAACTTAAGCAAGAGGCAGTATGCTAATTCACCTGGGGCACCAATAACATCACCAGCCGCATAAAGACCAGAGAACTGTAAAAGATAATAAATAAATAAAGGGATTAAATACTTTGTATGCATTATGCAAGCAGTAAACATGAAAGTGTGGACCCACATATACTAGTGATGGATAAAATAAACCTGGTGCAACCAACCAACTCATTTTATAAGATGCGACCAAGCATAAAATTTAATTCACACTGAATAAATAAATAAGGAAATTCGATTGCCAAATATATGTGCACAAAAGATATTATTATTATCAAGCTGAATCAATCAGCCTAGTCCCGGCTCAACTTTTAGTAACAAGTCCCATCAAAAAGAGAATCTTAAGATGGAGCTTAGAGGCTTGAGGACCCGTTTAGTCAAATCTTAAATGCACAATCGTAATAGTAGATTAATCCTTCCAATTCACATTGTCGCTTGTCGGTTAACCTTCAGCAGCCCCACCAACACACACACACACAAATCATAAGGTTGATCTGGATCTCTAAATAGCTTGACGACTTTTCTCTCCAGGCATCCATGGACCTTGCCACGTGTTCTCACCTTACTGTACAATCTACATTCAAAACAATATGTAGCTCTAACCCACTATGCAAACCTCATTCCTTCCACATGCACACATTCACGGACCCATTTGACTGCTCCACTGGGGCATGAGCACCTTAACTTCTGAGCAATTCACAACCTCACCGGTCACCAATTCCTAGCTTCCTGCTTAAGTGATCGCTGTTACCACAGGGTTGTGCTTAAATATTGCTGGATAATGCCCCACAATACACTATGTACTTCCAGTCTGATAACCAATTCTATTAGTGAACTTTATTGCCCTAATCGCACATTTTCCAGGTTACAAACTCAGCCGAAACAAAAGCATTAACATGCTCAGCTGTCGGCTGTCGTCAATGACAAATCAAAGTGTCATGTGCTCTTTAACACTTTATAAAAGAAACATAGCATAATACTCTCCAGCTGTAACTTAAGACAAACAGCACTAGAATGTCCTACTTCGATGATACCAATGACTTCTATAGCACTATCGACCTATACGACAAATAAATGTTTAACACAGTATATTAGGAAATCCTAGACCAGGTCTCAAAAGCTGGATGACAGTTCTGAGTGCAATGAAGTTGAAGTATATTCAAACCCACATAAATTTAACGAACAGTATACAACATATATTCTGAAGTGGGAAAATATAAGCATCATTACCTCTAGGTTATATATGCCAATTTTCCCATCAAATGAGGATGCTGCAATGACACCTGGTATTTTCCGGTACCAGTGAAGGTCAAAGTTCCAATTAGCACTTGCAGGTAGTTCACTAATAATCTGCAAAAAATAACACAATGAAAAGGGGATGGTAAGAAAAAAAAACTTGTTTCAGAAAATAAGAACATAATATATCTCTGCAGTTTGCTTTTAGATGTTTAAGTTGTAATATACCTCTCCACTAACAGTATCCCAGCAAATTGTTCTATTGTCTTTTGAACATGTAAGCAAGAATGAACTATCATAGGGGCACCAAGACATAGCAATTACACCTGCTCAAAAGAGAATACATCAATATAATAATAAGTACATGCAATTTAAGTACATTGACAAGTAATAGATGGGAAACAAACAAGATTAGGAGAGAAATGAAACCTTTTGAATGGCCAACGAATTCTCTTACTGGTGAGATGGTCTTCCTCACATCCCAAACCTGTGAAAATAGTGTATGAGCAGTGATATTGATAAAAATGAGAAAAAAAACACTTAATAGAATGAGTGTGTGATGTGAATTTGATGGAACATCACAGTATAACCACCTTTTTCTTCAAAAAGTACTGAATGTCATATTTAAAGAAGCCCAAAATGAAAATTAACAGCTTTGTCTATTTAATTATAGGTGCTATGAGCTTACATGGAGAAACGTAAGTAAACTAGATTATTTTGGGGGATTGGGTGTGCAGAGGAAAGGGGATTTAGAAAAGGTAATTACTCTCAGTGAGGGAGAGTTGTCATCATCTGATGCAACAATCAGCTGGGTGGACATATCTGGATTCCATTGGAGAACAGAGCATTTCCTTCGATTTGAATCTGAAAAACTGTTCAACAGTTCAAAATTAATCAATCCAAATCACAGATTGTATCAAAAGAGATCCTGAAAGTGCATAAGTAACTCTAGCAACTACTGTAATTACCTAGTCAGTGGTTTCTGATTCCTTAAATCCCAAACAACTGCAGGGAAACAAAATTAGTCAGACAGAACAATCAGAAGTCCAAGTGATGGTAACTGATAGCTAAACTTTTGCAGAATCAACCAAAATTTAATTTACCTGTCATCCCATTACTCGAAGTTGAGGCAACTATATGTTGGAACTTGGGATTCCAGGATAAACAAGAGATTTCAGCTTGCGCATGGGACCCAACACTCTGTTAAAATTATTATACTTTAAAAAATGATTACATGCTATAAAAGGTTGAACAGAAGAATGTAGCCAGAACATAGTGACATAACTGAAATATCCAAACACATCCTGCTTTACAACTATGTCACGTGCCCTAAACCTCAACTTTATTTTTTCATTAACAGCAACCCACATCGATCATATGAAAGAACAAGCATGGAAACGCAGTAAGATAACATAAAGGACACTACAGGGGAAAAACTTGGTTTGCATTCAACGGACTAGTGTAGCACAGGCGCAAACATCCAGATCATAAAGGACGACTATAATCTTGCACAATCAGTCTAAAGTCCCTCAGTTTCATCCCTGCATCAAATAGTGTAGCCAGTTCTGCTCATACTGAATGAAAATTAAAAATGAGAATGCTACTACATATAACTCAAAACATCACCGTCTGGAATGGCAAAAATCATGCTAGGGTCACCGTAAGCACGCAAGATGGCATCATGTTTACCATGGAATAAAAAGCACCACTGAATCATTACAAGCCGTGAGTAGCAGAAACCATGCATCTCATGAATAACCATTAACCAATCGGGCAAATCCTTAATCCTCTTGTAATGACAATAAGCTCTTGTACAAAACTGCAAGTACCTTGAGTGGTGGGTACACAATTGGCTCAACAGGGTTCTTGAGATCCCAGATGCAAAGCTCCCCCTGTTCAGCCCCAGAAGCAAGCCTATTCGGCGTGAGCTCACTGAACTCCAGTCCACAAACCTGGCAGACCGAACACAAACGCAATCAGCACACGACGCCAACCCCGTCAGAACGCCAGGCGCGTAAAACTAACTAGCCAGCCCCGCGCGACTCACCGGCCCGGTGTGCTTCTCCAGACGCGCGACCATGGCGTCCTCCGCTTTCCCCTCGGAGCTGAAACAGCGATGCAATTCAGTCAGAACGGGAGCAGATCTCAAGTGCGAAGCAGGGCGAGGGAGGCGGATCCGGACCTGATCATGCTCAGCGGGTTCCACACGGCGACGGAGCCATCGCTGAGGCCACCGGCGAGGAGTCCGAGCGCGAACGAGTCGCCCTCGACGGCGCCCGGGCGCGACCAGGAGAGGCGGTTGAAGCGGTCCGGGGAGGGCGCGGAGGCGAGGAGCGGGAGGTCCGGGGAGTCGGACTGGAAGTCGAGGCGGAAGATCTCGATGTTGGCGGAGTTGGAGAAGCTCAAGTCGACGGCGCCGGTCATGGTGCCCGCGGCGATGTACGGCGCGTCCGGCGCCAGCGCCGTCAGCGCCGCCCGCTGCGCGCTCTTGATGCACGCCATCGCCGGCGAGACCGCGCAGATCTGGGCGCGCGCGCTCTCTAGCTCGCCCAGGGCAGGGACGCTGCACGGATGAATTGCGAGGGCGATCTGGAGATCGAGGGGGGAGAGAAGAGAGGGTGGTGGTGATGCGGCGGGAGAGGGGTTGGGGACTTGGCTGAATCGCTGCGGATCTGATCGGGTTAAAGCGGGGGGTTTGCGCTTACCCTGCTGCGTGTCAGAGTGCTGGCACGCGTGATTTGGAAGCGATCAAGGCCGTTGTTTACTCGAATGGATTACTCTGAACCGTTAGATTTAAACATCCATTAGCGGATGCGTGTATATAACTTCCAAAAAAGGCAGATTAATCCAGTTTCTAAGTGCTTATCTATAATCCAGATATAAATTGATATTCCAATTTACTACCTTCGTCCTAGAAAAAAAATTATAAATTTGGTGAAAGTCAAACACTTTTAAGTTTAACTAAGTTTATAGAAAAAAGTATATCACTTCAAATAATTATACTTGGAAATATATTTCACAACGAATTTACTGATACTTATCTAGTATGATGATTTTTTTTGCGAATAAATAAACTTTATTAAAACTCAAATTGTATCATTACAGACCAAGGACTAGACAAACTCAAGACAAAACCAAAAAGACCTGATACTACCTGACCTAAGAGCAAAATGGGCAAGTTCACAAGCTACGCTATTTTGACTTCTACTAATTTTAACCACCTCTAAACTATCGCCTGAAGATCATAAGCCATGCTTGAAAATCTTGTTAGGTGATCGCATTCCGGGCTTCGATATAAGCTTGAACAAGCCCAAACGAACCGGGCATATAAAGATCCTCCATCGCATGCCGGGCTTCATGTACAATCGACCACGCCACCGACCGATCTTTCTCCTTGCTCTTCATCTTCTCAGCAATAACCGCATATCCGCTTCAAGCACCATAGGAAGATCATGCCAGCGAGCAGCCATAGCAATCCCTTCACGGCACGCCACAGCCTCGGCTTCTTCTGGATCCCTGCAGCGAAGAAGAAGGCGCCAAACTGTAAGTTTTACACAACCTTCATAGCATGTTCGGTTGGTTGACACATGTCCTCCATGTTCCCTGATAATCAGTGTCCATGTGATGGGGCTGGCCAGCCAGCACCAGCAATTCCCTGATAGTCACTCCCACCGCAGCTTTGCCGGATTCATGAAGGAAAGCTCCATCTACATTAATCTTCAGAGCACCAAAGGACGGCGGTATCCATCTCTTGCGCACGCTCGGAACCGGCACAGTTCTTGGCCTTGCCCCACCATTCAGCATACATTGTTTCCCTTTACCATCAGTTCGCATATTCTTATGACGGAGGAGCACAAGAGAATCCATATACCTTGTGAGAAAAGTAACGGATCCTTCAATCGAAAGCTTCTGACCAGCCCGCAATATACTATTCCTCACAGACCATACACGCCATAGAACCAGCAGGAAGTTATCAATCGCCTCCGGGGAGTAATGGTTGAGCAGAACCAGCAACCAATCCAGACCCGTCTGTATCAAATCCTCCTCAAACCGGTAACACCCAGTGAGCCCTCATGGCATGTCGGAGGGCTGCTGCATGGGGACACTGCGCGCAGGCATGAAAGCAATCCTCACTTCCAAATCCACATAACTCACACTATTCCAATGGAGAGAGATGACGGTAGCACTTGTTTGCTTGGATGGGGATGCCATTATTTGCCACCTTCCATGCAAAGACCTTCACTTTTTCCGGCACATGTGCAGACCACAAAGCCTTCCAAACCTTCCGATCATCAAAGGTAGTGGAGCTGCTTCCAATTTCCGCTTCACCGTGTGTTCGTCTCATGGCCAGCCGATAAGCACTTCTAACAGAGAAAATGCCATTCTTTTCATAGTGCCAAGCTACATAATCCACACCTCCTAAACGTGGGATTTTGATCTTCAGAATCTCCACAACATCACACGCATGGAAATACCTTCTGACAAGAGTTTCATCTCAGGAACCAGACCCAGTATCAATTAAATGAGAGACCTGTCTCAGTCTGCAAGGTCGACAGCAGCCAATAGGCTTCATACCATGAGCCCTTGGGATCCAGTTATCACGCCAGATGCGGATGCTTGTACCATCCCCCACCCTATGTACCACGCCTTGCTTTAGAAGCTCAAGACCATGCTCAATACCACGCCAAGAAGGAGAGGCATCCCCAGCTATAACAGTGTCTAACAAATTGCCTTGCGGGAAATACTTCGCCTTTAAAACTCTTGCACAAAGGCTATCTATCAGGGAAGTATATCAATCTCCAGGCTTGCTTAGGCCGTGTTTAGTTGGAGGCCGGATTCGGCGCCGTCGGATTCGGCAGCACTGTTTAAACACTGTAGCATTTTGTTTTTATTTGGTAATAATTGTCCCATCGTTGACTAATTAGGCTCAAAACGTTCATCTCGCAAAGTACAACCAAACTATGCAATTAGTTTTAAATTTCGTTAACATTTAATACTCCATGCATGTACCGCAAGTTTGATGTGACGGGAAATCTTCTTTTTGCATAGTGCCAAATTCAGAAAATCTGGACAACTAAACATGGCCTTAGCTAATAAAGCTTGGTTTACCGGCCTTAGATCTCTGAAGCCCATACCACCGAAGCCATTGGACATGTAGCATGTTCGCTTGCTCGTATACGATCGTGGATTATAAGCACAGTATTTTTCTCTCACACCAAACCGGTCAGCAGTAAATAATCCACGATCGTTTACGACGAAACGAACAGGCTGATGATCATTTTCTCCCATGGGATCCATTGCACTTTACGTCTTCCATTTTCTGACCCCCACCAGTAGCTTCTAATATGGCGCATTAAATCATCACAAAGAGTGTCAGGCAGCTTGAAAACGCTCATAACATAATTGGGCAAAGCTTGTGCAACCGAATTGATAAGAATTTCCTTACCGGCTGCTGACAGCTCTTGTTGATAATAATTTCCTAACCGGCTGCTGACAGCTCTTGTTGATAATAATTTCCTAACCGGCTGCTGACAGCTCTTGTTCCTTCCACGCCGACATCCGCTTTTGAAATCTTTCCTCTGGCATTGGCAGCCCCAAATACTTAGCCTCAAAATCAACCCGCTGGACTCCCAGTAAGTCACGAACTTGGTTACGAACTGCAGTATCTCTTGATTCATTCATTAGTATGGAGCACCTACTCGGGCTAAGCTGCTGTCCTGTGCATCTTTCAAAAACTGAAAGAAGCTTCACTGCCGTAGCTTGCTGCATATTCGCACGGAAGAACAAGAGGCTATCATCAGCGAACAACAGGTGAGTAATGCTTGGAGCGCGCCTGCAAACCTTGAGTCCTTCAATCTGACCCACGCCTTCTAGTGCCTTAGCAACGAAGAGAGACCGTCAGCAACTAGGAGGAAAAGGTACAAAAATAGTGGATCGTTGGTCCACAGGATCACCGATTTAGGTGGTTGAACCACTCACCAGTCTTGTCGAGCACCCGCTAGTATTATCGAGCATTCACTAGCCATGCCGATCCGAACAAGTGTTATCCGTCCCCACACACTATGAATTGAGGTTGAAGACAAAGAGATAACAGAGCATACACACAGTACAAGACACCAACATTGGCCGAAGCCCTATATGGGAGCTGTCAAATCTGAGCTCTCTTTACTGAGTTGTCGTGGTAGTCTATTTATACGACTCTATCCATCTAGTCCTATTACAGCACAAATTCTGCAACAGTAACTAGATAACACAGCATGACTCACTCTGCGCCCTCCTCATGTAGCTACAAGATCTTTGCATGTGAGCCGTCATGGCACCACTGCAGCTGCTCTCAGATATCACAAATAGGGGGTCTTTTCGGCGCCGCCTTCTCTTGTTGTGTTCACACAAGAAAACCAGTAGATTATTCTAACAATCTTCTCCTAATCCTACTGCTATCCCTGGTACCCCCTCCATGCCGATCATCTCCTTCAGCTCCGTGAGTCGAAGACGTCCGAGCGGCTTGGTGAGGACGTCCACGAATTGCCGACCAGTTTCGACGAACTTGATGACGATCTGTCCTCCATCGACATAGTCCCTGAGGAAGTGGAACTTCACGTCGATGTGTTTGCTTCGGTCGTGCAGAACCGGATTTTTCGCGAGGGCGATGGCGGGCTGGTTGTCCACCAACAGTGCTGGTGGGTGAGCTTCCACGCCGGTCAGCTCGTCCAGCAGCCGGCATAGCCACACAACTTGGCATACCGCTGTGTCCGCCGCTACGTACTCTGCCTCGCACGTAGACAACGCCACCACCTTCTGTTTCAGCGACAGCCATGAAATTAGAGCCAACACAAGAAAGACGAGCACGCTAGAGGTGCTCCGTCGTCCATCGATGTTCCCCGCCATGTCTGCATTGCTGAACACAGTGAGCTGCAGTCTACTCCCACCGGTCTTGGGAAAGATGATCCCTTGATCCACTGTCCCCTTGACGTAGCACAGTAGCCGCTTCACCGTAGCCCAGTGATACTCTCTGGGATCCTCCATAAAGCGACTGACGTAGCCCACGACGAACGTAATGTCCGGCGTCGTGTGGACTAGGTAGCGCAGGCAGCCGACGATGCTCCGGTAAAGTGTTGCATCCACCTTCGCCGCGGTACTAACCTTCGTCAGCTTCAGTCGCTCCTCCATTAGAGTCACGCATGGCTTGCACTCAGCCATGCCGCTCCGCTCCAACAGCTTAGAGGCATACGCGCTCTGACCGAGCATGAGTTCCTCCTTTCCCTGTCTGACCTCGATGCTGAGGTAGTAGGAGAGTGCGCCGAGATCACTCATTCGAAAACGAGCCGTCATGTCGCGCTTAAAACTGTTGATGTCCTCCGTGCGTGCGCCCGTGACGATCAAATCGTCCACATATACGCCAATGACGAGCTCCTCCTTTCCCTATTGTCGCGTGTAGAGCGCGTGCTCGGTTGCGTACCGTTGAAACCCAAGCTCATCCAGCGTGGCGTCAAGCTTGGCGT